AGGCCAGGAGCCGGGCAGGAGGGTCCCACAGGCTGGATGTGGCTTGCGGGCCATAGTTTGCCCACCTCTGCAAGAGGGTCTTTTAACCTTAGCTGACACTGGGGAGTAATCTAGTTGAGCTCTTGTATAAACAAAAATTGGTCAGAAGATAGGAAAGAGCCCCTAGAAGATTAGGAATGAACTACTCTGCCTTATGTCTTGCCAACCCTGGAGCTGTAGATGTACATTTCTTACCAGCTGAATTTGTAGGTGCCTGAAGCTAAAATTACTTCAGATACATTTAAAAAGCTTAGCACACATGACAGACACCCAGAGAGGTGCTTATTCCATGCTAGTTCTCAGGCACGTAGAAGACATACACAGCCAGTTCCCATTCCTGACCTGCAGATTTACCCTGGGGTGAGAATAAAGTAGGAACCTGAAGGATCCAATATCCACATCTGTTAACTTACAAGCAAAATGTGTAACTTTAAGAATATTTTAGCATAATGCTAGTTTCAGCTGTATAACAAAAACAACTTCAGCCTTTTTTTTTTTTTTTTTTTTTAAACACACACCTGTGTTAACCATTATATTGATGATACACAGATTAGAAAATAGGAAAGCCATGCAAGTCAATTCACTACTGCTTTGAATCCTGCAGGGAGTTGTAGTATGCAAGAAACAAATTCCCTGAGCAGCTCCAGTGTAAATAAAATGTATGCTAAAATAACATTTCTACTTAAAAATCCACTAAAACTCACTGGGCCGAGACAGAGTCTTGTTGTAGTGCTGTCCTCCTTTCCCCTTCCCCCTTCATTATTTTTCTGGCATAGATTTTCTATGTTATGAGCTTTAAGGGCCTGATTTAACACATGTATACATGCTTAAATTTATACACAAGCGTAGTCCCAAGGACTTGGGCACAAATGTTTGCAAGGTCAGGGACTTAGCCTGTAACGTATTTGTGATAGGGCTCATGTCTTCTCTATGTTCTGGAAAGGACCTAGAACAACTTAGGGGAACATGAAACCGATAAATAAGTTTCCAGCTGAAACATACTTACTTTTGCTACTAGAACACACGCACAGCATGCACACCTGGCATATCAAGTAGAAAGCATATATTTGGGGCTGGACAGAGCCGTTGGCGTTCTATGCTTAGTATATAGCATTTTCCCCCCTTTGAAATTCTGTTGTTTTATTTAAGGGAGGGGGGACATTTAGTAAAGCTGGTAAGTCAGTATTTTTTTGGGACAAACTTAAATCCTTAGAAGTCCAGGCATGGATGAAAGGTGAAACAGTAACCAAACAGATCAATAAATACCAAAAGGAAAATAAATTTATATTAAAAATTATTTATACAGAAAGCCTTGACACAAAAAATGATTAAACATTACAATTTGATATACCTTTATAGATCTATCCAGACTGTTAAAAAAGCATTTGAATATCATACAGTAAGGAGGCATTCATACTTCACTTGACACTTGTTCTGATTTTAACAGGTTATTTTACATTATCAACATGCTGTTATGTATGTTCACAGTGTCTGTACAGAGTGTCTAGGCACAAGAGGCAAGGTCTCACATGCTATGGAATGCAAATCAGTTTAAGATTTCCATCATCTTTGAAATAAGGAAGTAGGTCAAACCACTCAAGTTTTCAAGATGACCCTCTCCAGCAAGGAGAGGGAAATGTCTTCTGTAACCCTTTATTCAAAAGGTCTGTTTCAGACTTTGCTCCATTTAAGACACATTATTTCTTCAGTTGGTTTGATTCACTGTTTGGTAACACTTAATGGATATTATTTGTAAAAGTGGAAAATACATTTCACAATTGTATCTTCAGATTTTTTAAAAAGTATTATTTGTTTACTATTATACTAACATTTACCCATGAACTCGGCAGGGCTTTCTGTACTTCGTTCCTCAAGTATTCCATGCCTCTGTCAGTGCCACAAATATTCTATTCTATAGCTCTCTTCCTCTCCTTTTCCCATTGTTGCCCACTGCTGTCTTCTGAATCACTCACGGACTGTGAAAGGAGTGTCCCCCACCCTGCCCACTTTTACTCATCTAACTTGCATACTTGTCCAGTGCGGGTACTCCATAGGGAAGGTACCGTGACCAGATAAATAGCTTGGTAAAGGACTTTAAAAGGAGGTGTTGGTTAAAGGAGTGGAACCGGGTTGTGTGTGTGTCTGAGAGGGGCTCCTATGACTGGTACAGCAGGGAGCCAACCCTTCTTTCTTATAGCTAACCTTAACCCTCATTCAAGCAGGGGAGAGATGGTAAAGTCCCATCAATGAGTTGGCTGGGGGGCCTGGATGGAAAAAAAAGAGTGGAGCTAGAGGAAGTCCCCAGGTAGATATTGAATGAATATGGGGTTATCTGCACTGTACACTTTTATCTGCTGGGTAGTCCCGGACATCTAATGCTAAAGTTGCAGCCTAATTAAAACCATATCAAGTGTCTCTTGTCCTTCTTTCAGTATAGCCAGACAATGACTCCATCCTGCCCACTTTTACTCATCTAACTTGCACATTGCAATTTTAGGCCCCAGATCTGCAAACATTTACGTATATGAGTAACTTTATGTAGGAGAGTAATCCTACTGAGTTCAGTGGAACTATTCATGGATATGTTGACGGGGTCAAAGACCTGGTGTTTGAAAAGAGGAAATGCGGAGCAAACTACAGATATTATAAACTACACTGTTTGAGATGCAGTACAGTTGTAGTTAAGCCAGTCAAATTAAACTTCATTTGCAACAAGCCAAAACCCTTTTCTTTTATACGTCATTTACCATAGAACGTTCTAGTTACAATGCTAGAATAGTGAGCAGCAGCATCAATGTAGTAAGTTTCCATATATGTTGCTAGTGTCTGGGTATGCACGTTATAACTAAAAATATCAGTGCTTTATTGCAAGGTACAGAAGACTTAGGTAACCTGTAAATTATACAAGACTATAAGAAGGCCTTATTGTATTAGTCAGAAGCGTGTAATATTCTGGCACAAGAAAGAATATGATATATAATTCTCCTTCTACTCTACATTTGAGTTTTGTATAATTTATGAGTTCTGTATGCTTTACATGAGTTCCTATATGCTTTTGGCAGTCAAAACAGAAAAGTTCCAAAAGCAAACTGAAATCAACATACATTTCAAAAATACTTATTGCAAAACTAAGTTGAAATGGTATCAGTGATTTTTTAGAAGTTGTTTTTACAAAAAATAAATAGTGCACCATATTTTAAAAATTACGAAATTCTCCTTAGTAAAGTGTTACCTACAACTGTACCCACTTTATCAATCTCTGTAATACTACAATATTTAATCTCTACTTTTTTCTTAACATTTAAAAAATGTTCAAATGTATAATGTTTACTGTATGTTAAATATCTAGAGCTGAGCATTTTTTCTAACAGAAGAAACTAAATCTTAGACTTTGTAAACAGTGTGCCTCTCATAATCCTATCAGTGCTTCATTAAAATACTGTTAAACAGATTTAGTTTAAAAAAAAATTATCACCTTTGCACCCCAACACAGCAAAATAAACTTAAATTTTAGAAGATGTTTGTACAAAACATTGACTAGTTGCATGTTTTAAGTTATCCTGCAAAGTTCTGAAAACATAATCTTGCATATTGCACATCCAGAATACAATTATATCATGGGGAGTTTCATTATGCACAGCTTTGTTAAATCCTTTAAGTTTAAAACAATGCTATAGTAAGAAATTAATCCAGTGCATACAACAGATAACATCCTGAGAGAGTTGCTTTACAGGAATGTGAAATATCATCTCTTCTCTTACTTCTTATGTGTTCAAAGTTGTTTTCTGATTGATATAGGTGTAGACTACTTAGATTAGGGCTAGAGAACCAATGACTGCAAGGGACCACATTTCTCACCTCACAGGGAGTATGCAAATCTATTGGCCAGATCCACTAACTTTTTCCAGAAAGATTTAACTTACTGGATTCATTTAAGAATATCTTTGGTGCAGTCTAGGTGTCATGACATTTAACATTTTCTCTTCTGAAGATGAATTCAAATGCAACTGATGTCATAAATGAACAAAAATTAGTAGTTTTTGTCTAGCCCTTAGTGGATGTTTATCTACATCTCTCACACAAACAGAAGTTACCATGTTGGCAGGCCTGAGCTATTCTTGGAAGCTTGTGCCTTTGCATTATGCTGGTTTCTAAAAATAATATAATTCCCTCACTTTCATGAGTACTTTAAAACAAACACAATAAAATGTTAGTTTTCCATGTAAGAGTGAAATAGGCAGTATTTAGCATTTTCTAAGATATCAAAAAAATTCTATAATGGAGTTTTGATAGATCAGAGAGATACTGATCACATTTAGGCAGAACATTGAAGAACCCTTTCAAAATTAGTTTTGTGCAGCCAGAAGTGTCTGTCTAGGGGACACAGTTGGGTAGGACAAGAGCTGGCTAGCAGTACATCAGATGCTGAAAGTCTATATGGTAATGTGCTTGTTTTTATAGAAGTGATTTCACATATCACTTTTTGATTGATTTGGGTAGGTATTTTTATTTTGCCAATTCTTCACAGGTCTCCAATACATCAATACAAATATTAGGAGTTGGCAAAAAACCATCTAAAGCTAGTTAATTTTGTGTTTTGGTACCCTAGGTGCCATGAAAATCCATGCTTATTCTCTGTATAATACACTAGTAGCAGATGAAATCTGGTATTCTTGTCTCTCTGAAGGTAGTTTTACACCTGAACTGTGCATATTACCATTTTCCTCACTACTTTAAGTATAAGTGCAAAAGAATTATGTCCATAAACTGCATATGTTTAAGTCTTTCCCCAAAACTAATTGGCACAATCCTAACTTGAGGTAGCACATTTTACCAAGTTTCTTTCCGACAATTTAGGAAAGCTTTTAAGAGTTTAAAAACAATGTCTCTTTGTGGAATTAATTCTATCAGCAAATACTAAAACCTTTTAGACAGCAAAGGTCTCCCCACTTAAAACATTTTTAACAGTTTAAAATCTCTTCTCTCTCACTTCCTTTTTTACTAGGAAAATACTGTTGAGTCCATGCTCCACTAGGACCCGTGGCATCTACTGCAACATCAATAATGGAATCTGGAGTCATCCATCTCAGAAATACCAGGAAAAGGAAGCTTAATACAGCAAAAAGAGCAAAAATACACCCAGTCACTGAGCCACAGTGAGATATTAGTCTGTCAAGCCGCTTGTCCATTGGTAATACCACTTCATCTGCAACTCTGTCATACACCTGAAAGAGGGGAAATGAGGAAAGAGTTAAATTTTGCTGAGTAATCTTTATGATGTATTATCTCTGAAGATTAGGCAAAACTGTGTTTTACTACGTATTGCACATAATAATGATCCTGTTCCAAACTTAGATGGGAGTGTCCAACAAAAATAGTTTCTTACATATAAAAGACTGTCCTTTAAAAAAAAAAAAAATCAATGAGAATAACTAAAGAGGTGGAAAAACTTCCACAGGAAGACAGATTTAAAAGATTGGAACATTATTGTGTGTAACTTGATCATGAATGGCACAGAGGAGTGAAAGATCACACATTACTATTCAGCCTCTCATAATACAAGAACAAGGGGATAGTCAAACAAAAAGGCAGCAGATTTAAAACTGATGGAAAGGAAATACCTTTCCCAACTTAATTAAATTGCAGAACTCATCATCACAAGAGATCACTAAGGGCAAGAGCTTAGTGGGATTCAAAAAGGATCAGACACTTAGCTATTTAACAAGGATTTCCAGTTAGAAAAAAAACTAACTTTCCATGAAAGTCTACCAATCCAGACTCAAACTCTATTCACTCACACTTCAACATGATAAATAATGAAAAAATTATTACTTTCCCTGCCCACAAAAATATGTGGGAATCCCGGAATGCTGAACACAGAGTCCATTTTATCAGAAATTCTATTTTTCTTTATGAGAGGAAGTCTGAAGCTCTTTTGATATATTTACATTAAAGGTAAAGGGGGTGTGCGTAGATGTCTATACACACACACTCTCACCACAGGAACAAACCATAGTGATTTAACTACTTGATTTGCAGCACAAAGATTCTTTGTTCATCCAAGCAAATCAGGTAGGGCTGTCTAAATTCTAATCTTTGTACCTGCAGCTAGGGAGTAAGTAGGAATGGGACACAATCTATAGCTTTCTTGATGAAAAATAACTTTGTAAGAGTTACTAATACAATAATAGAATAGACTTGACAATATATAAGTGACTTAACTTTCTTTTTAGTGAGTACTATTATTCAAAACTGCTATTTAAAGAATGGTGCTATACTAAAAGGGCAGCACTATAAATACCTACAACATATAGATAACGGAAGTTTTCAAATAGCCCAAAAGCCATGTCTTTGAAAACCTGATGCAACTATCATGCACCAGTTATTTCAGAGATAAAGTGAAGTTAGTTCTGCAAATAACCAGTATTGTTTCATGGCTGAAAAATGTGACTCTTCTACTCATCCCAACATTTTCCTAGTTTGTTTAGAATCCAGTTTCTTTTAGCTCTTCCCTAAAAACTAAACCAAACTAACCGCTATAATCACACTTCAAACAGTTGGTTTTTTTTAAAAGGTTACATACAACCTTTTTAATCTCCTATTCCACTATTGATTAAAAGACTATATTCTTACAGGAGCTGCAACATTAGTATTCCTTATGCAGCAACGGTTAACCAACATAGCTGACATCAACAGCAATATTGGAGCAATGTGCAATAAGAATGTTTCAGCATGACAAAGTATTCTTAAAGCGCAAGTTAAAACATTCAAAACAGTAAAGTTTAAAAAGAAATTGATAGAGAAATACAATTCACAATCTTATGGTTGTATTTGTTTTTTTAAATATCATTATTCTATTAAACCAAGCTGACATTAAGTTGCATGTTATTTTATCTCTTTCCAACCCCTTTGAGGCCAAAATCAGTTTTTCTAGAAGTGTCAGCTGGAGGTGTTCGCCGCAACAAGTTATAACTGCGTTATCTATAACAGGTAAAGTTTGTCACTAATGTAAAAAAAATACTAACATGTAAAGTACAGTTCTACTCTGATAAGTGGCTGTGAAAACATGGCAACTTCTTACTCAACATATCCTTAACTTGTGTGTGTTCGATTGTATCTGAAGATGTTAAGATCTTATTTTAATCACTAAGTTTTACTTCTGTTAATCTGGCAGAGCCAACAGAGACAGACAGATTCTATTCCTTCTTGTGTATCAGACTTGTTCAGTACCTTTTCCAATTCCAAGGTCAAACAGTTATATGTGCACAAACCAACTGAAAACAATGGGGTTGCACAGACGTAATTGAAGGCATTATCTGCACTTCTGGATCTTTATTGATGGTAATGGTGCATAACAAGGAAATAATCCAGTTTGATTTTCTAGTGATAGTGTGAATTTACAGGGCTAGTAGTTGGCGGAGAAAACATTCACTTTTTATTCGTTAAACCATGCACATTTGATATGGATATCACTGAAATAATACACAATCTCACAACGCTACTTGTAGAGAGTCACTTTTCGAGTAAAATCACACTTTAAGACAGTCAGAAGTAGAGGTCTACGTACTTTTTCAGTTCTCTCTGCGACATTCCTCCATGTATAGAATGGCTTTACTTTGTTATGGATAGTTTCTGGGGTTGGTAGTGTTCCTGACCTGATCTGGGCAACAGCTTTTTCCAGACCATCACACAAAGATTTCACTGAGGGCTCACATAAGATGATAAGATTTTCTGGTAGCACCTCAGGGATTCCACCAACTCTTGTACTCACAACCTTTGGAGGCAACAAAACAATTAAGTAGTATGCATGCTGCATAACATAACTCACTAAAATACAGCTATACTGGTAATAAGACAAAATTGCTCAACAGGAGTACTTTAGATCAAAACAAAGGATCCAACCTTGCAGGTGCCTTCCAGGCACAACATCAAATGACTTCAAAAAGTTTAATCTGCATGACAACTATAGGTCTTGGACCTAGAAGAGGTGTTAGTACAGTAGCTTAGCGGTGGGATGTTCAGAATCAATATTTGGATATCAAAGGGACCTCACATACAGAAGCAGAAAGGACTATGTATAACAGAAATTTTCAAAGAAGGGAATTATCTTTCCCAAAGGTGCCTGTCACAATACACAAATGCTTATGTATAATCAGGCTTGGATTCCCTCCCCACTGCCTCTTTCGTGCCCCCCTCACCTTCACTATCCCCAAGGGAAAAAGGCCAGTAGGCTAAAAAGGGGGGGTTGTTTTGTCTCCCACACACACTTTTGAGCTTCTATGTCACTAACATTTACAAGAACATAACATATTTGAAAGTTTTGGAATACTAATTTTAATCTAAAAAAACTTTTTAAACATAAAAAAAAGGAAGGAAGTAGAACACAAACTCTTGTCAGGTCTGTTATTATTAGGCAATAATAAAAAAGTTTAGAACTCATCCCAAGCAGCAAGTGGAAAGAGAATGGGTACTGGGACTTGGGACTGGAGAGAGGGGTGAGGCTAGCAGGCAGAATCTACTATCATGGGTCTCTGCAGAGGGTTCCAGTCCCCATCATTTAAATTTCTCTATGCCCAAGACAGCCTCTATATTTAAAAAGTTACTTGGGAATGGAATCTCTGACAGCATGACTCTGCTCATTTGCTATTTTAACCCTTACAACACTAACATGGATTCATAACACTCACAAAAGTATACAAGCCAGCAAGGGATTCCACCAAGAATGTCCCAGTCTTTGATCTCTTTTCCTCTTTCCTCCTTATGTGAAATCTCTATACAGAGTAAATACTTCCTCAGCTGACTTAAGAAATGGATATCAGTTCTTGAGTCAGCCAAAGAACAGTGATAAGAACAATGGCTCACTCAAGGCTACGTGAATTAACCAAAAGATCGGTCATATTCACCAAACATTTTTCTTCAAATACCTATTGCTGATGGAAGGTAGAGGCAAAAGTCTAACAGATATAGTTGTCCATGGACAGAGTTAACTGGCCAAAAACACTTTCAAAAATACATACAGAACAGCATTTTGAAGAGGCAGCTTGGTTAGTTCAGAGAACTGGGAGTTAGGAGACGTGTATGCTGTTCCCAACTCTACATAAACTTCCTCTGGGAGCTAAGCAAGTCAGTTAACCTCTCTCTTTGTCTCAGTTTCCAGAGGATGTGTAAATGTGGATTAATATTTGCCCACCTTGGTAGACTACTTATAGATCCTCAGATGAAATGCACTGTTATAAGCATATATTATGAAAATAAGCATTGTAAAAATATGTATGCATGGCATTCTATACAGCAAAGATTCTTTTACCTGTAAACCACAACTGGCTGCTTCCACAATTGCCATACAGAAGGCTTCAGTGAGAGAAGTATTGAGAAAAATGTGTCCCTGGACCAAGACGTTTCTAACATCCTGGTGTTCCAAAGCCCCTAAAAGACGCACTCTGCCCATAGTTAAAGACAAAGATAAACACTGGTTTCACATACTGTAATAATGCTACAAAACATTACACAAATATTTTGGAACATACAGTTTACAGCGTATACATAGTACTGTATTAAAGCAGTGTGGACACTATCTTATTCCAATTTCTTTAAACTTTGATTAAAAAATTAAGCCTCTGTATTTAGCTTGAAAAGAAAAACCCAACTGTTTGAAAAACCAAACTGTTTGAAAAACTGAGGTTTTATGGCAATTGCCTTTAAAATATTTCTACCATGTTTTCTAGGTTAAGAAGGGAAGATTGTGTTATTTGGTTAATATTCCAAATTTACCAGTCTCCCATGTTCAAACAAGTGCAGCAAACAGGGAAGTTCTACAGGGAGAGTGAGAGGTTCTGTTTCTAGGTATGTTTCTACATTCAATACCATGACCACCAGCAATGGAAAAGTGGCTGTGGCCTGCAACAGATGTGCCATGTTTTCTTTCCTGCCTGAAGCAAAAGAGACTTTGTTTGAGGTGGAAGTTAGTGGTTGTGCTGGAAGATAAGATCCATGGTTTGAAAGAATAGATATTGACACTGCATATCTGAGAGGCTGAGTACCTGGACAACCAGACTCTGAAAGTATGACCATCCCAGGTTCAAGAAGGATTTGATGACCAAGGAACCAGAAAGAGCAGAAACCAGACAGTATTGGCAGCTGGTAACCACCAGAGGGCAAGAGAACAAAGCAGCATTCTACTCCGCTGGAGGAAAAAGAAGATGGACAGACTGTGACCAACTGAGCAAGGACCACAAGGAATTCCATACAACTAGAAATAGCCAATCATTACCAGATTCTTAGCATGGACACAGTACAAAGTGTGTCTGAAGATCCAGCAAGTCAAATGGAATGGAGACCATACAGGACATACCTGAGAATGGCTGCTCACCCCAACCCATAAGAAAATCCCCCTTGCTCACAAAGATCTCCAAACATGCAAAGAAGACAGATGATCTTTGTCAGGGATTCTATGCTGCAGAATGGAAAGAACATTCCGCAAGGGACAGGCAGACAACAGGATGGCATGCGGTCTTCCCAGAGCCAAGACACAAGATGTGACTGCAAGATTAGATAGGCTTCTGCAGTTGACAGGCACGACTCCACTAGCGATGGTGCATATCTACACTACTGACACTGCTTCATGTGATAACTCAGATTATAAATGACTTTAGAGAACTTAGAAAGGTGCTGAAGGCGAGGAAGGAAGTCCTCTGAGTAAAGGAAGACAGCAAACAAAAGATTCTGGAAGCAAACCGCTGGCTAGGTAAGTGGCATAAAGTACAGGGTTTTGGTTTTGTGGAAAACTGGATCACCTTCTATGAGGAGAGGGGGCCATGCAATTTGGATGGCCTCCATCTTCTAGGGGATTGGCTGGCTAGACTAGTCAGGAAGATGTTAAACTAATAACAAAAAGGTAGGGTGAAAAGGGAGAACAAATGAGAACTCATTTAGCACTAAATCAAGATATCAAGAATAAAATTAATCAAGGTAAATGCAGAGAAGAAATACTTTCATTACCTATACATGAATGATGGAACTTAGGTAATAAGCAAGAGGAACTGGAGGTGATCATTTATGAGCATAAATTTGACCTAGTTGGTATTATTGAAACCTGGTGGAAAGATCTGCAGGATTGAAATGTTACAGTCCCCGGTTATAATGTATTTAGGATAGATCATGTGGGCAAGAGAGGAGGTAGGATTTTTCTTCCTAACAGATATGCTCTAAATAGCTACTGGACCTGACACAGGAATTAATTCAGGGGAAGTTCAATGGCCTGTGTTACGCAGAAGGCCAGAATACATGACTCACGATAGACCTTTCTAGCCATTATATATATAAAAAAAATAATAATAATCTATGAGACTATAAAAATTGTGTCCCACATGAAATGCAAAACAGGAAATAGTCTGAAAATATTTTTCTGAGTTATAAAATCACACTAAAGAAATCAAAATGGCTTCTTCTGGGTAATTATCAGACAGATATTTGAAGTCTGTAATGCATAACAGGGATATACACATCTCTAGTAAAAGTACACCTCTACTCCGATATAACGCTGTCCTCGGGGACAAAAAATCTTACCGTGTTATAGGTGAAACCGCGTTATATCGAACTTGCTTTGATCCGCCGGAGTGCGCAGCCCCGCCCCCCTGGAGCACTGCTTTACCGCGTTATATCCGAATTCGTGTTATATTGGGTCGCATTATATCGGGGTAGAGGTGTATTTAGGAAAGCATGTCCTGCACATGTACAGTAGATTTAAAAAAAGAAACAAAATACCTATCGCTTTTTCATATCCACTGGCCAACCAGTAACTTTTCAACACAACATCTAATCAATTCCAAAATTTCAGGGAGTGTTCTAGGCATCAATGGGAGGAACCCTTTAGATTTGGGGGGAAATAGGAAAACCAGAAGAGAGACATGTTGACACCCTGAATTATTTCTCCCTCAGAGAGAAAAGAAATAATAAAGGGGGGAGGGAGGGCACACACAGAACCTCTGGCATGGGAATGGTGGACCCAGGTAGGAGGGCGCACAGAGCCCCAGCCATGAGGGAAGGTGTGCCAGGTTGTAGGGAGTTCCCTGCCTTGAGGGAGGACATGGGGGAGGGAGGGGGGGAAGAGTTGAAGGGAGGCCCTGAAAGAGGGGGATGGAATGGTGGCACATGGAGGGGGGGGGGAAGAGGAAAGAGGGCTGGAGGAATGAAAGGAGCCTCTGGGTGTGCACTGAGCTGAACCCCCAGAAACAATGAACTGTGCAACCCGCTAGTACAGTTTTCATATATAGAGACAGGCTTTTTTTAAAAACCCACTAAATTTTTGGCTGGAAAATGAAGAGTTATTTTTAGTTTTTCAAGTGTGTAAATTTGAATATGCCAAAACATCAATAATAAGTGCAGTGTAAATAATTAAGTAGAAAACAGTATCTTAATCCAGTGAGGATTTCATTTCTGTTTGTTTTATAAAAGGACAAAGATAGAAAAACAACTTCAGGGATTTTTGCACTATTGCTTGGTATTATATGCAGAAACAATGAACCAGCAACCCATATTGTTGTCTAATAGAAAAACAAGCTCTACTCACTCCCCCCCCCCACACACACACACAAAAAAGAGGAGCCAACTCACACCAATATTTGCTATGGAAACAGATCCTACCTCTATTAATTTATCATTTTATTACAATAGCGCCTAGGAGCGCCAATCAGGGACACTCTGTGTTTATGTGTGTGTACAATGCAAAGCAGATAGTCGCTGCTCCGTAGAGCCAACAGTCAAAGTATAAAATGAGACAACAGGTGGGGTACACAGATGGGGAAGCACAATAAAACAGTACTGGTCAGCTTGATAAGCAGCAGTCGCAGCAAACCAGCTACCTAATCACTGACACCTTATTTCACTGTATGCTACTGCTTGAGATGGCTAGGACTCTAACATGCTGATCCGGCAACTGGATTTGTGTGGACAGAACTTTATGCCTGTGCAGAGTCCCACTGAACTCACTGGGGCTTGGCACAGATCTGCCTGCACAAGCCAACTTGCAGAATCAGGGTGTAAATTTGCAAGAGTCTGCTTATTCTTGTTCAATCTGTGTTCCTACCCGCTCCCCTCCACCCCCTCATTGTTTCAGCATATTCCTTTTTATATTTACATTGTAACCACAAACACACAGAACAAACCTGTCATGTAGTTGGTATCTTTCCCGTACCTCTTCCAAAACTATTCGCTTTGGTCCTTCTCCTCCAACTAAGAAATGTAAATCTGGATATTTCTGACAAAGTTCAGGAATTATACCACTAAGCAAATCTATACCTAAAAATACAAAATGTAGAGCAGTTATTGTATTTGAGTGTTTAGAGCTTATCTTTCTGATGCCATCCATTCCTGTAACACTATTCACACGTGTCAAAATCAGAGGTCTCTGAAAAGTGGTTGCATCACTGTCTATTAAAATATCAAAACTGATGAACTAGCAGAATGCAAGAGTGTAAGAAGTGTTTAAATTACATATCCTCTTTGCTTAGCACTTTAAAAAAAGTCATTCCTTGTCAAAGGAGATTAAAAAAAAAAATCTAAAGCAAATTTAGGGCCTCAAACTAATTGACATTTTAAGCATATAACCATTTTCAACTTTACACAAAATTACTGCACGAGGCATCAAAACCCCAAGTGCCACAACTGAGATATGAACACAGTTTGCTAAAAAGCAGAAGACAAAGACTCAATCCTGCAACTCTAGTCACATCAGTAGACCCAATGAAGTCAATGGGTGAGATTCTCACCCCAGCTCCAACCTCTTTTACCAGTAAAAGGACCCTAAAAGGTCCAGTTCTGGTCAGATGAGAACTCCTTTGGTGCAGGAACTGAGGAGGACAGCTGTAGGCTTTCCTCTGAGGTCCCCCTTGCAAGTCCTCGTACAAGGCGGATGGCTGGGGACAGGAAGGGTATGTCAGGGGCAGAACCTAAGCATGCAATGTTGTGGAGATTCTGGGCAGCCCAGGATCTCTTTATAAAGTAAGTACTGGACCCCAAATCAACTAGCAAAAGGAATCTAAAAGCAGAAATAAAGAATGAAACTAAAACTACAGTTTTATTATTCTAATGTTTTAATTAGCATAGAGTTAAAACTGGTCATACGGATATGATATTTAAAAAAAGACTCAGTACTTAAATTTAGAGATAGGTGATTTACATTCAAACAGTATCTCAGTCCAAATTGTATGCCCTACATCTGATCTGACTGAGCCACGCTTCTATGAAGCCATGGTGAGGGGGAGGCCAAACTATAGACTCATAGACTTTAAGGTCAGAAGGGACCATTGTGATCATCTAGTCTGACCTCCTGCACAATGCAGGCCACAAAATCTCTCCCACCCACTCCTGTATCAAACCTGTGCTGAGCCACTGAAGTCCTCAAATCATGGTTTAAAGACTTAAAGGTGCAGAGAATCTTCCAGCAAGTGACCCGTGCCCCCACGCTGCAGAGGAAGGCGAAAAAACCCCAGGGCTTCTGCCAATCTGCCCTGGAGGAAAATTCCTTCCGGACCCCAAATATGGTGATCAGCTAAACTCTGAGCATGTGGGCAAGACTCACCAGCCAGACACCCAGGAAAGAATTCTCTGTAGTAACTCAGATCCCACCCCATTTAACATCCCATCCCATCACAAGACCATTGGGCATATTTACCTCTAGTAGTCAAAGACGAATTAATTGCCAAAATTAGGCTATCCCATTATACCATCCCCTCCATAAACGTATCAAGCTTAGTCTTGAAGCCAGATATGTCTTTTGCCCCTAGTACAGAGGCACAGGAAAGCTACATGAATATCCCTGGCTTCCCAAGGATTCCCCAGGCTTAGCTAAAGGTCCTGCGCCATTTTCTGCAAAGGAGGGGAACAAATCCTGATAAGGTGACAATGGAGAAACTTCAGGAGGGAATCCTTATGGAGCAAATCTCCACAAGTCCCTCCCACAACAGTTTTGTTTTTGTTGTTGTTTTTTAAAAAGAAAGAAAGGAACTAGGCCATTAACATCACACTGAATGTTTGTGATGGCCATATTGTTTTAATGGCTCGAATAGTGCCTCATATTGTTCCTTCCCCCACCTTCCAACAGAAAAAATTCATGGTAGCCGTAAAAATATTTATGAATTCAATTAAGACAATATTTTTCATTTATTGGTAGCTTAACTATTTTTAGTTATATGTATTTATATTAGCCTGAATTAGAATGTTGTATGTATATTAGTCTGAATGATAAAGAGTGAATGATCAGAATATTAAGAGTTACTCAGCAACACTATGTTATTCCAATATGCTGTATTTTACATAGCATTTGTGAAACCTGAACTAAAAGTTTAGAACCTTTAGGTTTATTATAATATCAAGAAATTTCTTCCTTCGTTCTACAAGTATTATAAACCAAAGCAACTGAAAACAAAAACCTATGATAAACATTAAAATTCCTTTGAATAAAAGAAATTAAGGGCATACTGTCAATTAAAAATTATGTAGTAAACAGATTTCTTTACCTCTGTTACCAGCCCCACCTACGCTTACGGAAAGTGAAAAAAATTAAAATTTTCACAGTTTATGTCAGTGATGCTCAGACCTCAGTGGTTCAGGAACCAGATTAGCAATCAACGTTACTCAAAAGAGCTAATGTGAATTCATTGTTTCTTTTATTATAGCAATACATATTCATATTTAAATGGTATGACAGGCAAATTATTTAGTTTTTTTTAATATATATTAAGTATTCGCACAGCAAAATGACTGACCATTATTATTTTATCAACTACAATTGGTTAACAATTATTAACCAATCAGGATGCTTCTACTATGTTAAGTCACATGTTTTAATATCATGTGCTGCAAAGAACCACAAGAGACACATTAAAGAGCCACTTACAGCTCGCGAGCCTCAGTCTGAGTATCACTGGTTTATATCCTTTGTTTACTCCTTCCATTTCTACCTCCTGGGGCAATGAAAATCAAATGAGTCAATTTTCACTTATTAAACAGCTTCACTTTCAGGTTTTTAAGATTACAATGCTTATTTGCTTAAATATCAGCTCATTGCTACAATTTAAAGAGGAAAAAGTGCAAACTTTTTTTTTTTTTTTTAAACTGGTCAGGATTTGTTATAGGAGTGGAACCTAAGTAGTTTCATACAGTTATTTATTTTTCTATTTAAAAAGGGACATTGTCAGGATAAACACACATTTACTATGTGCAGGGACAGCACTGTGCCTGCCAGGAGCTCCACTGATTTCAATGGGGTTCTGTGTGACTGTAGAAATGGGACCTTACTGTAGAGTCTGTACAAGACCAAAATTTAAATTAATCTGACTGAAGTGTACATATATTCAAAATCTAAGACCAAAGAATTTAAAAAAAAATATCAGTGGACGTAGGTTTACTTTTTCTTTCAACAAGAACATTCCCCTGTACCCCAGTACCAACCTCCCACAGAAGTCTGGCTTGGCTGGATTTGCTGCAGGGAGGCATGGAGACAGACAGTGAACACAGATGTTTAAGGCCCAGTCTTGGGTTCTTAAAGGCCATGGGCCTCCCCTGTGGAACTGTATGGGTTTGGGGGGCACACTACATAGGTTACTTCCAGGGGACTGGAGACAAACTGGGGGCATAGCGCAGACCCTGTGACTCCATGACAGCTGCTGAGTACCCTCAGTCACTTGGTGACTCACATGGCTGGCTGTTCAGGGCCAGGTTCTGTTCCAATGAAGTCAATAGGAGTTAAGCCCCTTAGGATCAGGCCCTTAGACTTAATACACGGAAGTGGAAAGAGGGAAATGAGTGAAACAACTGTTTCAGATTCAACGTGTTCGGTCACAGATATGGCATCTGTATTCAGTTGCTTAAATACTGAACATTTCTTACCACCCATTTAAAAAAAAAAAGAGAAAAAAATTATTTGAAAAGCAACTTACAGTTTGGACCTCATTACCTTTTCTGTAAACAAGCCTGCTGACAACAACAACTGTTATTGTACTATCATCCCTTCTACTTGAATCTGGAGTGAAGTCGGTGGGATCAACAGCATTAGGGATGACAGATACGATCTCAGGATTCAGTGCTGCTCTTAGTACAGTGTTTTCCTTGCTAGTGTAAGAGACACAAATGATGTGGTTTGTATCACAGAGTGACACAGTTAGAAGTTTGTTTGTAAGCACCGAACTGACATCAGCAAATCCAAAGAGAGAATGGTCTGTAAAAACTGTCTGTAGTCCCATTGTCTTGGCATGGAAGAGTGCATCATGAGCCATGGAAGAAAACGAACTATGGGAATGGACTATGGTGACTCTCTCCCGCACAAATATGTACCTGAGCAGAGGCAGACTGTGGAAGAGCGTTGTTGCTGTAGACTGATTGTACATGACCTTCAAAGGTAAATAATAAACTTTCAGACCATTGGTGAGGTAACGAATGCCTTTTCGGTTTCCATAAGCATGGGTGACAATTATAACTTTGTGCCCTCTTTCAATCAGGCACTGTGACAGCTGGTAGATGTGACTTTCCACTCCTCCCATATTTGGATAAAAAAAATCAGATACCATGCATATACTGTGTGTTCGAATTCCAGTTGCTAGGGCTTTTACACAGTTAATGGAGGAAGCTGGAGAAAGAGTGTGTCCATGGCCTCCTATTCTTCTGCAAGCCATACTTAGAAAAAGTTCAGAAATCAGTCCTTCTGGTAGCCAGCCAGTTTGTAGATTTGGGTCTGCTCATTACCTAAGACGGTGAGGGAAAAAAAAATTATTGCCAAATACGTAAAGAAGCAGGGCTTAAGACTGTCACTTCTACAAGGACCTTCATGCTACAGTGATATCAGCATTTTAGTTTCTGCAGGGCTGGCGCTAGCTTTTTAGAAGCTCTATGCCATCCACCTATAATAGAACCCACCCTCCTTCCCAGCCACATCCTACCTTTAGTAACTACCTCCCTCATCAATTTGTGAGGCTCCATGGCCTCTTGTGACTCTGTCTCCTCGTCCCATGGACCATCAAGCAAGGAGATAGAGGTGTTCTTTGGCTCTGACTGGCAGGAAGACAGAACCCCAGATATCTTCTGCAGTTTTCTGTGACCAAACAGGACAGTGGATAGGAAGCGGGGATGATACCAGGCTGATGGGCCATTTATATATAGTTGCCACAAAACTCTGCTTAGCAATAAAAGCTGAAGAATTATATGCAATACTGTAGTACTGAATTACAGTCTCATACCAACAGGGCACTTACCAATGTGCCTTAGACACTGTGTTAATAAAAGACCAATAAAAGTGCTTAATTTTATAAAAGCCACTATTACAGCAGCAACATGTTCCACATTCTTTTAAGCAATTCCACATTTTATAAAATGTATATTGACCTTTCATTAACGTAATGCTATTGAGTACAGTATACTATATACCAGTATATATGTTACTTACACACACACACACACACACTCCTTTAAGAGAAGAGGATCATTATCACACTAGCTTAAAGTAAAAACTCAGACTTGTCCTTTCATCTCATGTCCTGGCATTCACTCTTTACACTTTGTATTAAGAAGAGTTCCTCCTGCCCTTGTAAGCATATGTTATCTTTTCTGTATATTATTATTTTAACAGTTTTTAAGCTCTTTAAGCCAGGCCTTAATTATTGTAAAATACCAAACACTTGTTTTCACAATGCAGGGATAATTACTATAACGACCATAAAAATTCTGGTCAGTTTTCTGAGTTTCTGACCCACATGTTCATATCATTGGCTCCTGTCATGTAAAGGAGTCCACACACATGTTACTCATTAATTTCACAGGGACTCCATACGGGTGTCCACACTTGCAGATTCCTTTGCAGGACTAGGGCTATATTTTGTACAGCCATAGGTTCTGTTCTTGCATAACAATTTTTAAAGAAATCTGACCAACATCATATGATTTTACTACATGTCCATAAAACGAAGTGAGGCAACTCCTACCTAAAATAGTTTTGAAGACCACACGGGACCACTTGATCATCTAGTCCAGTGGTTCTCAACCTGTGGTCCACAGACTATGTCTAAGGTTTCCAAAGGGATCTGCACCTGCATTTAACATCTTTTAGGGGTCCACAAATGAAAAAAGGTTGAAAACCACTGATCTAGTCTGGACTACTTTATCTCACAGACCACAAAACTTAACACAGCCATACCTGCATCATGCCCAATAAGTTTTTTTTATGAAAGTACATCTTCCAGACACGGGGTCCAGGTCTTGGTTTACAAATGCTGCACTTTCAATACGTGTATGCAGTGTTGTTGCAGCCATGTCAGTCCCAGGATATTAGAGGGACAAGGTAGATGAGATAATATATTTTATTAGACCAACTCCTGTTGGTGAGAGACAAGCTTTTGAGCTATACCACAAAACCAATGATATACCTGAATACGTGGATGATATTTTCATCCTCTGGATAGATGACAAACTCCCTCAGACTTCCACCACAACTTCAACCACCACCACCCGTCCGTTAAACTCTCTCTGGAACACTCCCACACAGCATCAACTTCTTGGACACCAAAATCAGCTTCAGTGGAACCCTACAGACAACTTTGTACAAGAAACCTACGGATCCCCACATCTACTTTCACAGATCCAGTAACCACCCCAAACACAGCAAGAAACTTATCTACAGCCAGGCACTCAGATACTGCAGAATATGCTCTGAGAAGAAAGTCCGAGATACACACCTTAACATACTCAAAAACACCTTCACCAAACACAGACATTCCACTAGAGAAGTAGATCACAACATTAAACGGGCTACCCAAATACCCCGAAAGAACCTGCTTTAATACAAAAATAAACCCCTTTCCAACTGCACACCCCTAGTTGTTACCTACCACCCCACACTGGAACCCATATGGGGTATCAGCAAACAATTACAACCCATACTCAATGGGCATCCCAGCCTGAAAGAAATATTTCCCAAATCCCCTCTTCTGGCCTTCAAACAATCCCCCAACCTCTCCAAGCTTATCATCAGAAGAAAGCTCCCCACAGACCAGATACACCAACTCAAAGTGGCACCAAACCCTGCTACTATAACAGATGCAAAACCTGCAGACTTCTCTCTCTCCACTGCTACCATGATCAATACCCCCACAACACACCTTTCAAATTCCATGGGTCCTATACATGCCTATCACAATATGTGGTGTACCTCATCCAGTGCACTAAATGCCCCAATAGCAACTATATGGGTGAATCCAATCACTATGATCTCAATTGAACTCACACAGGAAAATGATAAAAGACAAAAACACTGTATTACCCATGGGGGAACACTTTTCACAAAGTGCTCACTCTACATTTGACTCATCAGCCCTCATCCTCAAAGGAAGCCGACACAACACCTTCAAAAGATGAGCCTAGGAACTTAAATTCATAACTTTGCTAGACACTAAAAAACATGGACTGAACAGGGACACTGGATTTATGGCTTATTACAACAATCTGTAACCCATTAACCCCTCCTTTTTGCCCTATAATTACAGAGGCATTAACAGGCCACTTCATTGGAAATGGTCCCTTAAAATATGCGCTATCTATGCTAAACTATCTGTTCGGCCTTGTATTTAGGGGTAACACTCTGAGTGCCTTTCCCAGACCTGAAGAAGAGCTCTGTGCAGCTGAAAAGACTTGCATCTGAAGAAGTGAGGTTCTTACCCACGAAAGCTTATGCTCCCAATACTTCTGTTAGTCTTAAAGGTGCCACAGGACCCTCTGTTGCTTTTTACAGGTTCAGACTAACAGGGCTACCCCTCTGATACTTGACAAAAACATGTGACATCGAGTCCCCCCTTATTAGCAACTTTGGAGCCCATGAACCACTAACATTAATGACCTTGAGCCTCTACCGCATTGTAAGACAATCGTCACATTAAGAGGCTCTGCGGGACGGAAGCCTACCATAGTGTAGCAAACACCGTTGCACAAGCCCGCAGCTGCAATGTGTGTCTATGGGGGGGGGGGGGCTGGAACCCAGCCGCGCCTGGCGCTGTACTTACACTACACCGGGGAGAGACGCGCCTTCCCGCAGAGCGCGGCCGGGGGCAGCAGGCGGGCAGGGGACGGGGCTGCCACACAAGGGGATGGATCGTGGCCCAGGCTGCAGCGTTGGGGGGGGGGGGGGGACAGCAGCTCCTCCCCCCCCCCCCCCCGGGGGGCCTCCTCGGCGGGGGGGAACCGGCTCAAAGGAGGGAGCGGGGCAGAGTCACTCACGTACCTGCCGCCGGCCGGGTCCACCCATTTCCGGGAAGGAGGGAGCGGCGGCCACTCGCTGTCCCGCCCCCGTCGCCTAGACAACAGCCCCGCCCTGCCTCAGTGCCCGAGCAGCCCACCAATGGAGAGGGCAGCTTCAAGTCACGCGGGGCAGAGCAGCCAATCGGAAGCCTCAGTTCGGTTCCGCCTGGAACGCGGAGAGGGGAAGGGGGCGGAGCGTGGCGTCCCTGACGTTCTGAGGCGCTCTGTGGCTGGACTTCCCTTTAACCCCTTCCTCGCACTAGCCCGGGGGTTCCTCATGCCCTCGTGCGAACGCGGGAGCACTCACCCCCTGGCCTGCGCCGGGAGGGGTCTGGGTGTGGGGGAGCGTTTGCGGGGGGGCTGTGATCCTGGCCGGGTTTCTGAGCCGGCAGCCGGGCGCCTCTTCGAGCTTTTCTCTGCAGCCAGGAGGGCTAGAAGCTTACTGAGCAGGGACTCTAACACACTCACCTGACTCCGGGAGCTGGGGCTCTAAGAAACGCACCATGAATCGCAAGACTCATAATAAAATCCCAAGGGATTGGAAAACTAATGTGTGTTTCTGATGTCCCACACCACTTGCCCTGGAGTCAGCTGCTACCAACCAGGCCACACCACCACCACCACCCATGGCAAGAATCTCTACTGCTCCTTGCCAAGAGTGCTGACTTGTGGAATCCCTCGGAGCTCAGTCCTGTTTTTATTCAAATATCTATGTGCAAATCTTTGATAGAATAGCAAGATGACATAGGCTGCAATGCCAATATGCCTCTGACCTGCAGAAATCTGTATACTTCCAACAGAAGACACCATTGGGTCACAGATAGCATAGTGATTGTCTGAATGAAAACTAGCTGTCTTAAATTCAGGAAAGACCAAAGTAATGCTAGTAGAAGGAGGTAATCATTTAAAGGTTCTATTCAGCACCTACACCTCATCCTATCTCTGGCATTGTTGGTATGCAGCCTTGGGATTGTCGGGGACTTTTTAACCCAGACGGCAAGGTTCGTTGTCTGACCGCAGAGTGAGAGACAGGCAACACCAGCAAGGTCCAATACAAGCTCTTTATTGAAGAGTGCACACAACAATAGAGAGCGGCCCGTCTCCAGAGAGAACCAGCACACCCTTTACAACAACTAGTGAGATTATATAGACAGTTCCGTCGCGTCATAGTTAAGCAACTTAAAACCCCAAACCCCCCCTTATTAGTTAAAGCTTCTAATATTCATGCATATCTATCTTCTTTGACAGTACAAACAGTTCATGATGCCTCAGCAGCTTATCAGCTTTTTCGTTACGTATCAGAGGCTGAGAGAAAAGAGGGA